GACAGGCTGGAAGAAAACGTAATTTATTATTTTACACTTTTGCATATGCTATGTTTTTCATTGAAGTTATTTTTTTTATATATGTACATACGTATGTCTTTCAGATGGAGATGACCTTCATACATTGATGCAGTTTTCGATGTCGAGGAAAAGCTTCAAGACCAAATCGACGAGGACGCAGTTGTAAGTATTAACTCACCTATTTACTTTAACATGTGATATTTAGTGTTTAAAACGACAATTGTATATCCAGACTTCTTACTTGTTTTTGCTGAAAGGAACTAGCGTGGATATTGATGCTGTCGTGGTGCGAATATTCAGCGGCGGGTGCTGCAGTTTTTTAACTAAATCGGAGATGCGGTAAAAAGGCCTTTTCTAAATTTAAGATTGCCGACACGGCGCTTTTTGGTAATGTTAGCTATTAATTTCTAATGGAACAACATTTAATTTCGCTTGTATTTTTACTTTGGCAGATATTTTTAAACTACATGGACGCATCGATTCCGAAAAATAAATCAGGAGGAGCGTTGAATTAAGTCACAATAATGAAAAAATAATTAATATAAATACATACAATGTATGTACATAATATAGTTTAGTGTAAAAATAATCATATAATTTTAATAATAACATTTATGCAATGTGGAATAATATAATAATAAAGACAATAACTTATTTATAATTTTTAATATAAAGTTTTAGAAGTTCAAAATAACACGTGTATATCGACTGCTGAATGGAAGATAGACCTGTCTCGGCAGCCACTTCGAAAACGCCCTATCTCAAAAACTTTTCAAGAACGCCCTATTTCAGAACTCGATTCAAAAATGCCCTATTTCAGCTGCCGATTCAAAAACTCCCTATTTCAGCAAATTTCCAATACATTTTTAAGTGAGATAGGGCGTTCTTCAACCAAATTTTGAGATAGACCCCCTTATTCTAGAGCCCGAATTTTCGTAATTCTTAATTCGTAGCTACGCTACGAAAAACGAAAAATCTACATGCTGCAACCCTTGCAGAAATATGTGCAGCATTGTTAGCTATCAGTTGTTTTGCGAAGATAGCTGAATGAATGAAAACGAAATGGAAAGGAATTAAAAGAAACACTCATGAAGTGCTTATTTATAATAAGATTGTTCGATTTTACATATTTTGAAGGAAATTAAGGATTCTATTGCATTTGCAATTATGGCATTGTTGAACCACAAGCCAGAACTCCTCCTATGCCTGAAGAACTGGTTCTGAATCCATTTAATGCAATAACAGCTTCTTCCAAGCCATTAAAAACATGCACTTTGTTATGTCCACCACCTGTTGCACTTGCTTCTGCCTTCGGCCGCGCTTAGGGGCTATAACCCTTACTAACACCCCTATTCTGCAACTCTTTCGTATTCGGATTTTGCTACGAATCGTAGAAATAGTATGCTGCAATCCGAATCGTATTTTCGAAATTCGTAACAATGACATGCCTAAAAACGAACGAGTGAGCTTTTTTGCGTAATTTTGTACGAAAACATTTCTGTGTCGGAGGCGAAATAAAATATGTAAATCGATGTGTGTTGGCAAGAAATATTGGTGGTGTTCATTTAAACAAATAAATTTGCCTTTCGCATATACGTATATTTTTATGCACTGCTTTATATAAACGAGCAAAAAAGAAGAATATTTGTTGCCTCTTATCGAGAAACTTGGGTCCGGTTTACTTAATGTACAACGATTTTCGGTTGTTGTGTCCAAACGCATAACCCGAATCCAAAAACTATAACATACACGTGTAATGAAAGGAATCACACTTTATTTAAGATAAATGTTTCAAATTTCCTACCACTAGCTTATTAATAAACTCGGTTTGCACTATGCACTTTTTTGCAAATTTCGTCGTGGGTTCTGCGCAAAAACATTGTGGACGGCGTAGTGATATGCACAAGAAATGTTGTATACCTTTGACATGCGGAAGCCACTCTTCCCCGCAACACAGAAAGGAGAATTCTACTTAGCATGGATTATAATCCCTAAGGGCGGCCGAAAGCAGAAGCAAGCGCAACAGGTGGTGGACCTAACAAAGTGCATGTTTTCAATGGCTTGGAAGAAGCTGTTATTGCATTAACTGGATTGAGAACCAGAGCTTCAGCCATAGGAGGAGTTCTGGCTTGTGGTTCAACAATGCAACCAGAAGCTGACATAGATGCGCCCATGGTTACTATGCCCGACAACTCCGCATACCTTTGTGAATTCAATGACATAGCGCCCTGCTTACTCAGCTGCTATAATTGCAAATACATCATACTTATTTATGTTAATAAAGACTACGTAATCTTACAAAGTATGAATTATTAATATTTTGTATGTATATATAATTTGTATTCATATAGATAAATATTAATAATGTACATACATATGAATTAACATATTCTTTTCAACTTTTAAAACTTTATATGTTTACTATATATTATCAAAAAGTTACTGTCATTATTTGTATCCCACATATCATTCCAAAATACATGGTTATTTTATCATAACAATTTATATTTTGTTTTTGTTGTTGGCTGTTGAATTTTAAATTATGAAAGATTTTTAACAAGCTCGAGGCCCAGCAATTAAATAAAACGCAAATCTTTGTTCTATTGATATTTTGATTGTCGATATTTCGACCTTAATCGGAGGTCATATACAGGACTGTAAATATACAAACACGATAACTTATTATTAACTTTTCATTATTTAACGTATGTTTGTAATAATTTAAATGTAATAATAAGTTATCGTGTTTGTATATTTACAGTCCTGAAGATGACCCCAGATTGAAGTCAAAATATCCACAATTAAAATATCAATAGAACGAAGATTTGCGTTTTATTTAATTGCTGGGCCTCGAGCTAGTTAAAAATATTCCAAGTAATAAATAAATAAATAAATAATAAATAAATGATTACTTTAATTATTTTAACTAAAATACAAGGCCAGTTTTGCAGTTCTTTCATATGTCATACATATTTCCTTTCATAGCATACATGTTTAAATATACATACCTAAATATTTAAATTCATATTATGCAATAATGTATAAAAAAAATTAACTCAACCTTAATATGGAGAAACTTTTTTTCAAATTTTATCAATTTAAAGTTATGTATATGGTACTCTGTTTGTTCTGTTATACATACATAAATACATACATATATACGCAATAACAAAGTTAACTTAAATTTATAAAACTTGCCAAAATATTTCCCTTGCTTTTAAAGACAGTTAATTTATTATACCTTATGTAATATAATTGTGAATTAGTTCATCACATAATTTTAAAAAATATAGACGAAGTATCTCCTGTTAACAAAATAAACAGTCAGCACATTCGCGCCACTGTTGCCAGTTACAAGTTTGAAAAAGTAGACGACTACATTTATTTGGGAACCAGCATTAACACCAATAACAGTTGCGTTTTTTTACTCATTTCCAGTAAAATCCAGTAAAAGTTTTTACGAATTTTCATTTTTTAGCGTTTTCGTACGCAAAACCTTGCAAATTAGGGTAAATTGAGAGAGCGAAATATGACAGTTGAAGTTGCAAGTTTTTACTGGATTTTACTGGATAAATTTTTACTTGTAAGAATTTGCCAGTACGAAAAACAGCTGATCGCATCTTTCTGGATGAAATTTAAACTAATAAGGAAACTGTTTGTGGGTTTTTATTGTTGTTGCCAGAACTTTTTGGGCCGACCGGCTAGATTGGCAAAAAAAAGCGGCTAAAAACGGCTAAAATGTTTTAGTGAAATTTCACATGCTTTATTTAAATAAATCGCAAGAAACGAAAGACTAGTTAACACCATTAATTTATATCGAGTGTATATTCCTCATCATCAAATGAATCACTATTGTATATATCACCTGAATTCATTAATTTTAAGAGATCGTCATCTACAGTAAAATTATGGCAGCATTTTTCTTCACGTTTTAAACCGTATCTTATATATAAAATAGCGTTTAACGTTTTAACGCACATTGGGTTTCTTTGCTTAGTTTTTATTATATTCATTGAACTAAATATTCGCTCTACTTCTGCATTACTTATAGGCAAAACAAGAAAACTAAAAACTAGGTTGGAAAGGTCAGCAAAAGGGTTTTCTCCTAGGGCATTTCGAAATTGATAAACTTCGGCCCAAAATTTTACAGTTGAGTCTAAATTACTCCAGGTATGTAACGTTAACCGTTGCCATTGCATCTCTATGGATGTTATTTCGTCATTATATTTGTGTTTTTGTTGCTGTAGTTGAACAAATACTTTTGGTTGAATTACTCTTAATGCATTTCCAACCGAAAAAAGTCAATTTTTTTTAGTGTGGCAATATTGGTAGGGAGGCGTTGGCGTAATTCCTTTATTAAAGTGATAATAAAATAGCGACCATTTTCTCGAATTATTTTCTCGGCTTCGTGGTCAAAAGCGTTTGTGCTTACTTTTGTTTTTAAATACTCTTCAAAACTGTGATAAAACTGAGGAAATGGAGCAAGGTATGGTTCCAACGGGGAGCATATAGGATCAAATGTGTCCGCGCTAATAACCACTAGGGAGCATAGATGCGAAAGTAAAACATTGAGTTCATTAAAAATCTTCATTGGGTCTGCATTATTGCTTTCGAACAACTTGTTTACTTTTTGCACCTGAAAATTAGGCAAATAGTAAAATCGGCTAAAAACGGCTAACTTTTTTTTACAAACCGGCTAACAAATCGGCTGCCGGCTAGATCGAATTTTCTCCGGCTAGTTGCTATCAAAACCGGCTAAATCTAGCCGGAAAACGGCTAAAATGGCAACGCTGATGTTTGACAAGCCACTTGTGTGGTGTATTTTGCTCTTTATATAACTTCAGAAAGCCTTTTGTTCAAAAATTTCCAGAGCGATTCAACAACTCTCTTGAGTAAAACATGGCTGCATATGTTACTGCAAATGTATAGACAGAAAATTCCTCAAAAATTCCTTAAAATAAAAATCCTCAAAAAATACTCAATCGCACCCGAAATTCCTCATGTTTTGATACAGCGGCCCTCACCACGATGGAAAGACCAAGTAGAGAAGGACTTGGCTTCGCTTGGCATTTCCAATTGTCGTCAGTTGGCACGGAAGAGAAACGACTGGCGTGATTTGCTAAACTCGGCCAAAATCGCTTATACCATGTTCTGACCGACAACGAAAATACTTTGAAAACGAGTTTTGGAATTGTGGGCTGAAGGCTGTTCACACCGGCTGTTAGTGTTTTCGTTGACATTTCTTACATCCTCGCATTGCAGTTTTGCTACACAAAAACAAAACCAAAATGCTTTTCCCACATTTTCTTTTCATTAGCAACCTCTTACTTTCATTCCTATTTTACTTTGGCCAGCCAATTAACAATAAATACGAAATAGCGTATTAAAGATGATAAAATATGACTTCCACTTCGATAAATAATCGAAAAAACGGTAATTCTCTAGGGTGGGGTAGCAACCCCTAAAAAAGGTGCGGAAACAATCCGGAGGGGGGGGGGGGGGCGGGGGCTAATATTATTAACCATTTAAAAGTTATGAACAAAAAACTTTTGTTAAATTTCGTTGTTTTCTA